GGAAGCAGAACACTTGAATTCAGTGTTGCTTCTGCCTTACGTGATTTAATCCTTGCTCTTAGAATCGTAGAATCATTTTGGTTGGAAGAGACCTTTAAGACCATCGAGTCCAACCGTTAATCTAACACTGCCAAAACCACCACTAAACCCTGTCCCTCACCACCAAGTTTAAATACCTCCAGGGATGGTGACTCCATCGCTTCCCTGGGCAGCCTGTTCCAATGCTTGACAACCCTTTGTGTGAAGAAATTGTTCCTAATATCCATCCTAAACCTCCTCTAGTGCAACTTGAGGCCGTTTCTTCTTGTCCTATCATTTGTTACTTGGGAGAAGAGACCAACACCCAACTCTCTACACCCTCCTTTCAGGTAGTTGTAGAGAGTGAGAAGGTCTCCCCTCAGCCTCTTTTTCTCCAGGCTGACCACCCCCAGCTCCCTCAGCCTCTCCTCATAAGACTTGTTCTCCAGACCCCTCACCAGCTCCATTGCCCTTCTCTGGACACACTCCAGCCCCTCAATGTCTATCTTGTAGTGAGGGACCCAAAACTGAGCTCAGTACTTGAGGTGAGGCCTCACCGAGTGCAGGGGGACAAACACTGCCCTACTCCTGCTGGCCACACTGCTTCTGATACAGGCCAGGATGCCATTGGCCTTGTTGGCCACCTGGGCATACTGCTGGCTCCAACTACCAAGCGGCATGGTAGCCTGAAGAGAGGTCAGGCTTGCCCTGCTGTCTTGCGGAAGCCATGCCATGGTGCGGGCAAAACCCCAACTTTTAGGGGCTAAAAGTGAGTGATTTGGGGCCTGGCTGGGGGAGCGTTGTGTCAGCCATGGTGCGAGACTGTTTCACGCGTTTGGTGTGTTCCCTTTTGCTGCTTTGCTGACCAAAACCATCTCACGGCTTCTGCTTGGGTTTGCCTGAAGAAAGACCTTTTCCTGGGGCCTTTCTGAGGTGGTGTAATGAGGCTGGGGGATGGACTGATTGATTGATTGCAGTTCCCTTTTTCCGTCAACTGAAGGAGGACACGAAGCTGGTGAATGGAAGTGAACAAATAAAGCCAAGGCTTCCCCCATTGATTTTCTTTTTTTTTTTTTTTTTTTGTTTACAATGTAGGAGAAGAAAATGGAGCCTGAAGTAAGATTTGAAGCAGGAATCCAATTAGGAGTCAAACTTACTCCTAAAGTAAAGAAGTTTAAATTACTCTGTCGCTTTTTAATCAGAAAGCCCAGATATCCTTTAGCTGGTCAGTTATGGGTTTGGAAAATGGGTGACCTAAGTATAGATGGTGTTTAAGAAAACGGGACCTAGAAACATACTGTGTCTTGGTAGTTTACATAATTCCTGTTTGAATATAATACTGTAATTTACCTGAAGAAGCCTGAAAAGCTGAGGCAGCATGCCTGTGTTGAAAATCTGTATTGGTGTTTAAGGGAAACTCGACATAAGAGCAAGTACTCGCAAATTTTTAAGCTTGTCAGCAACAGCTCAAGCGCCTGCACCAAAATAATAATAATAATAATATATAATCTCTTTCTATCCTGAATATATAGGATAGATAGGATATAACCCTGAAACTGGAGTTAATTTGCGGTTTTCTTCCTTCTGTCCCTGTTGTTCTAATTTCTGCTGCTCATGCTGGCCCATCTTGAAAATTAGGCAGCGGATTTCGTAAAGGTTCTAATTTTAATTCTCTCTGCTGCTAGTAGTAGCCTTTTTATGGAAACGTTTTGCTTAACACACAGTAGGCATTTAGTTATGCTACCTACGCCAAACGGGCTGGGAGTGGGACATGTCTTGAGCCCTGGAAAAGCTCTGGCAGGGAGATGTAGCTTCTCCCTTAAACAGAGTTAGCTGCAAGTAGGTCTTCTTGCCCTCCTGGGTTTTTTATTTCAATTGCATATTGGTTTTGTCTATTTCCTTTCTTTTTTTTTTCTTTTTTTTTTTTTCTTCCCATCAGGAAAGGTGCTGAAGCATTCGGGAAAGATTCTGGGGCATGAAGGTGTTTTTGTTGCAGGAGTGAACCATTGAAAGAAAGCCAGCAATAGTGGCGTTTTCTCCACTTCCGCTGGAGAAAATCTTGAGTTTTGTCAGTCCTAGTAGTTTGGCTTAATACTGCTAAATTTTGTTCCTAGAGTTGAGTGCCAGTTGTATTATTTAAAAAGAAAGAAGTATAAAAAATGAGGACTGTGGGATCACACTGTGTGTTTGTACTTTTCAGTGAGTCACACTTATCTCTTTTTTTTTTTTTTTTTTTCCTCTTTTTCTTCTGTTGGCTGACATCGACCCAATTTTGTCAGAATGAATTTTTTTTTTTTTTTTTTAATAATACATGGCTGGGTGGAAGAGAGAGACTTGGTTAGTTTTCCAGTGCGAGAAGGACTCTTCAAGATGTGTGTTCTTAGAAAATCCATATTAGAGAAACGTCTATTCTTTGATAGCGGGGAAAGCTTCAATTGAAGGTTGGGAATTGCCGCTGCATAGAAAGCTGTAGGCTTCTTTAGTGCTGATGCTCATGGAATTATTTGTCTCATTGAAGTGCTATTAATTAGGCTGGCTAAACTGAGCAGTGTTAAAAGTGTTGCCAAGATACTGGTAGAGACGTCGGGTCTGCAATCAAAACCTGCTATTACAGCCTGCTGGGTGGATGTGCTGCCCTGGCCAGCTTTGGTTCGTGTGAGAGCTTTTCAATTAGGGACTGAACTGTGTCTGATATAGCAAATTAGGAACATGTTTCTGGTTGGCAGATACTTAAGAAACCGAGATATTTTTATATATATATACATACATGTGGATATTTATATTTGATCTCTGTTCAGTAAGCTCTTAATTCACTTTTTTTTTCCCCCTGTGGTCTTTTTGACAGGTAAAACAAATCTGGCAAAAAGGAGGTGCTTGCTTCTCCAATAGTGCTTTAGAGAACGAATGATGTGCCTTGGATAAAGGAAGAATAGTTACTGAAATGGGAGTAGGATGTACTAAACATGCCAGAGTGATTGAGTTCTGCAGTTTAAAGGAAAAAAAACTCAAGAAGTTCAAAGAAATACCATTCACATAACTGCCGCTTCCGATTTTAGCTGGGAAATAGTGTCACTCATTAAAAATTGTTATGCAAACTAGAAATAAAGCTCCCAGTTCATTTTTCTTTTAAGTAGTCCGTTAAAGAAACAGGAGTGCCTTTAACTATTGTGCGATGTTGTTTGTTGCACGTGTGTGCTCTGCACGTTTAATAATTACACGCACTGCTGGCGTGTGGGGAGGTGAGGGCCCTCGGACCTTCCTAGGGATGCCCACCTCTTTAATGGCTTTTTGTCACCATTCTGCCTTTTAACCGTGTTCCCCCTTGTCCTTTTCTCACTTGCCGTTGTACTGGCAAGGACAGCTGTTGCTTATGAGGAGATTTGTAGCCGTACATCAATATTTATAACTGTCATATAGTTTAGCAACTACACTCTGGCTGAGGAACACTTTTTGGCAAGTGTTTATTTTGGACAGTGTGAGGACAGATTGGGATCTCTTCTGCGGAGTGCACTCCTGCTGTGTTGTCACAAAAGTATCTTTAAGTGCTTTTCTAAGCTTCTGAAGGATTCCCGGTTTAGTCGTATTAATAAATATTTAGCAAAAGGGATGCATTTTGTTTTAGAAGATAAAAAAAAGTTAATGATGTGAGAACGCAGTTATGGATCTTGCAAGGACAAAGAAGGATTAAGAAAACATTTGTGGCTTTTTTAATGGTGATATATGTTTTTAGGGAGCTAGAAAGGTGGATCTGTAAACGTTTTTTATCTCCCTTGTACAATTTGGACTCTGTTGTCAAACAGCCCTTAATACTTGAGGGGGGGAGGGACTGCCACTCTCACTCAAAAAATGCCTTTGAATTTTCACATTCAGATCTTGTGCATCTTTTGGCTGCTGAGTGTTTATAAACTTTTCAAAGCTCTGTCTTTTTTATTCCCTAAAGGGAACCCGTGTTTTTGTGGGAAAACACATTCATTTCAGTTGTGTTTTACTTTTCTGTGATAAGGAGCAACCGTGTGTATTGAAAGATTGGTGCTGAGGTTGCAAAACCTTGCACTTAAAACCTGATTTATGATCTTTGGGCATAAGATGCTCAGACTAAGATTGAAAACCTGTATCATAATGCAGATTCCATAAGACTGTGGTGTTTTTACCTTGTTTCCTAGTAAGATGCTTGTCTTACTGCCTGTTCTTGTGTCAGTCTAAGATAGAAATGAGTGACATTCAGGGCACGCATTCCAGCATATAAAAAAAAAAAAAAAGTAAAATAATAAAAAAAGGTGTTAATATCCAAGAAAGGATCATAGGTGGGTGAATGTTAAGTAGGTGCCCAAAACTTACTAGCATCTTGCTCTTGCCCAGGAGGGTACAGGCATGCACTCATGCCATAAGTGGGGGACGGGCACAGCTTCTGACCAACGGGCAAAAATCTCACTGTGGTCCAGGGGCACAACAGCCTCTCAAAATTTGAGGAGTCTGGTCAGTTTTGGTCAAGATGACTTGCACGTAAAGTCATGTAATTCTGCACAAATCCATCCTCACCTCCTGCAGTCTCTCTCTTTCCAAGGTTCTGCCTGGAAGAGAGGAAAGCTGTCATAAGGGTGCTTCAACTTTCCTAGAGATGCCTACCCTTTAATTGGTTTTTAATAACTGTTTTGTCGTTCAATCACCAGCTGATCCCAGTGCCTGGGGCTGACCTGACTTGCAGCTTGGCCTGTCTCCTTTGATGGTTGGTTGGTCTTGGAGGGGGTGCCAGACCCTCCAAGCCCGTAGCCGGGGGTGAGGGAAAGTTAGGGTCCTGCCTGCATTGCACACCCATGTCCTCACCGTAGAGGGTTGGGTTCCCCTTCAAGCTGGGAAGACCTGGAATTGTACACATCCCACCCAACTTTCATTAGTCCTTCCAAAACTGGGCCGGGAGCGGAGGATGTTTGAGGCTGGAAAGAGTCTTCCCGAGGGAGGCTGGCTCTGTAACCTACTTGGTTATGGCGTTCGCCGGTGAAGAAGACCTTGGTATCCCCTCTCTGTGGGTTTTCTGGATCGTCCTTTAGAAGTGTCTCTCTGCATTAACTTCCTAATGAGCCCCGGTGTGTAATTAGGATGCTTTTAATTACCCTGCTGGGTAACCTCACCCCATTAATGATTTTGAAGCCGGCACTCTGGATTTCACTGGTGTGTGTCTGCTGTGATCTTTAATAGCGAGCTTTACAGATGGCTTGGGTTTTTTTTAAATAAATTTTCATTTTAGGCAAAACGCAGGTTATAGTCTGTTTCATTGTAGAAATTAAAACAAAATGTTCATTCTGATGCAGGTCTGAAAGAGGTCTGCATAACTGACTTTGAGCAATAACCTTAATTAACTCAAATTTTGAAAGTGGCTTCCAGTTGTTGCTTATAATTTGTCATGCTTATATCTGAATTATGTGAATGTTGTCTGACATAGAATTTTTTCTTTCTTTCAGCCTTTCTTCCAACTTGTGAAGTTACGGAAACTTGGACTTAGTGATAATGAAATCCAGCGGCTCCCTCCGGAAATAGCGAATTTCATGCAGCTGGTGGAACTTGATTTGTCTCGAAATGGTAAGTTCCAATGTTAATTTACATGATTCTATACCATCCTATGACATGGTCTATAAAACTGGGTTAGTAGGGTTTTTCTGTCTCTGAAGTTGCTATCTGTGTCCTGCAGAATGGTTTTCCGTGTCATTCATGGATTTGCCTGTAGTTCTTGATGGGGAGGAGGAGAGCCAGCAGGGGAAATACAGTAATAAAATAATGCTTGACTGTAGTTCTGCCTCTCTGAGAGACTGCTTTATTTTCCAATTCAGAGAATGCTTTACATCCTGTTTTTATATGTGTATCTGTCCCAATGTTAATTTCCTTTCCCAAACTCTCTGAAATGCCTAGCATTTAATAAGAAGAAAAAAAAAAAAAGGCGGGGACTGAAAGAAAAAAGCTCCTTTTTGTCCAAAAAAAAAAATCTGCCTATGGGTTATAAGTCCATTTCTTTATCTCTGCTCTCCTTACCTGTGATTAGCAAGAGGCAGAGCGCTGGTGTTTCTGGTTGTACTTTTGGAAGAATCTGTCTTTTTGTCACCTGCAGAGATAAATTCAGGAAAGGGTGCTGGGAGATGCTGTCTTTTAAAATGTGGTGTTGGAAACCACATGGATTTATCATTCAATTGTAATGTTTGCTGCTTATGTTGTCTCAAGCTATGATGGAGTGAAAACATTTTTACTTTTTTTGGTTGTTTTGTGTTTTTTCTGGTTTTTTTTTTTTGTTGTTGTTGTGGCCTGGTGAACTTACCAGTTCTGCAAGAAGTTCAGGGGCTGGTGGGTCACCTTTAAGCAGCCTTATGACCCACTGATCTAGAAACAGCAAATCCGTGTTACCAAATTAGAGCAACTGTCAGCTATTCTTGCCTCCTTATATGCAGTGGATACGTACAAAATGCTCTCTGAGGTGTGATGGATGGGGTGGGAGAGAGCAAGGTTGTGTAACCTTGTAAATAAGCAAGGGATGTAGCTGAATATTCAAGAGAAGTAGTGCAACAGGAAACCTTTTTTCCTTTACGGTTTATTTTCACATTGACCCTTTGCCACTGAAGAATATTCAGTGGCCACTTCACCTTCCTGTAACTATCTGAAATTTGTATCTTTATTTATTTGGTGCTTTTAATGCCATCTTTATCTGGTAATATAATTGATGAAGCATAATGAGTCTCCAGGCAGTTGCTGAAAAATTTCTGTGAACCATATAATTTTATGCACATTGGCAAAACCTCGTAAGAGAAGAAAACTGGAAAAAATCCGAGAGACAGAAGAAACATGTTAGTTAAAACATTTTAGAAATACACAAGCATTAATTGAGGCAGTATTTTGGCTGCAGAGTTTGGCTGAGTTGGGTGCTGTCTGCGACAGACCTTGTACAAAAGGAAACACTCTGTTGGCTTAGTAATTCTCTTTGCGAATGAATAACGAGCTGCAAAAGAGCTTGGTGGATCAGGGCCATGTGAACTCTTCTCAGCCCCACTTGGAAGTTGGCTGGAGGGCTCAACTGTAAGGAGAACAGATGGTGGGAGCATTTATGGTTGGGTAGATGCGTGTGTGTCATTAGAAGTTACCCCACAGGGAAGGGTTTTTTTTCTCCTGTGGTGGGTTGGACTAACGCAGGTGGCAGGGAGCAATTGCTCTCCTATATCCAAGGTTCAGTGTTAATTGCCCGTTTTATTGCATTACTTTCTCTTCTCTGTGGCTCGTTGCAGAGGGTCACCGATACTGCTTCCCTCTGCCTCATCACGTCACAGTTGTTGCATGGCTTGACTCTTCCCATGGAAAAAGCACTGTGGGAGGTGATGAGGAGGGGAGCAGGGCAGAAGATGACTGATGTTGCTTTCTGCTGCTTGGTCACGTTAGGGTTGTCTCGCAAATTAAAAGGCAAAACACAGGCTATCTGGGATGCTGCAGGGGAAATTCTCACATAAGATTTTTGAGATTTACAGTATTTTCATTTCTTTGTATCCTGAACCCACCTTCAGGATGTGAACCCACCTTCGTGTCTCAGATTCTCAACCTGCCAAAGGTTTCTCCTGTTCGGTGGTTTTTGTTTTTCTAACTATCAGAGTACTTAGGGGAGGGAAAAAAAAAAAAAAAAGAACTCTTTGTATTCCTTTCAGGCAGAGAGAAAAACAGCCCAGCTTTTCAAAACACAGTGTGCTGCATGAATAGGAAAGTGTGATGGTGACATCTGAACTTGGGAAATAAGAGATGATTGTTCTGTGTTTTTTGTTGTTTTAGCTGTCTGGTTCGGTGCACTAATTGCTTTCAGTTCTGGCCATTCTGTTTCCTCAAGAGCTTAAAAACGCACATATAAATTCATTTGATGTTCTTCGTGCAGGACCATCCCTTTATATTTTAACCTCTCATCACAGGAGGAGGAGAAAAGGCTTTTGAATAAACAAAGCACTTCCATTTCCCTCGTGATAAAATGACGGCATGTCTTCCTTTCTCATACTTTCTAATCCTTTGGTCCGAGTACGGTCTTTGAAGCTTCATGAGGTGGTGGGTATGTTGTGTGGCTGGACTCGGGTGTTGTGTGCCAGATGTGTTCTGTGCAGCGGTGAGATGTTGCATCTGGAGGTGGGATGGATCCTGGATCCTGGCAGGATCCCTCCTGACTCTTCAGAGGCAGCTCTGGATGCCCGTGCAACGCGGTGTTAGGTGCTGCGTTGAGTAGCCCAAGTTCAAAGGCACTCAGGAAAGGTGGGCAGGGCAACTAAGTGTGGCTTTCTTAAATTCCCAAGGGTTTTAAAATGCCCAAGGCATGCTCATATATGTTAATAACTAATCCTTTAAGCAGGTTTTGGTGAATCTAGAACTACAAAAATCTTTCTAGGTAAAACTCCAAAGTCTTCAGCAGATGTAAACTTGGTGCTCCTGTGATCTTGGGTGTATGTGAGGGAAGTCTGGGGAGGGCAAGGTGGTGGTGCAGAAGGAGAAGGATTTGGGGAAGGTTAGGAGCCATGTAATCTTAACTTTTCCTGGATTGTTTGCGTGTTGCTATTTCTTATTCCTCTGCAAGGCCGTGTGTTCATGCAGATTTCCTAGGAAGCATCCCCACCGTGCTTTTCTAGGCTGGCTGAGGCTGTTATCTGAGCAAAGGTTGAATGGATAAATCAAGAATGGGAGTATCAGAGGGCAGGGAAGCTGTGCTCAGAAAACAGCATAGCGATGGTGAGCACTTTGAAGGTTATTTGGCAGTGCAGTTTATCTCTGCCCCTTGGTCTAAGGTTGTTCAAAAAGCTGAGGTGCTTGTTCTGAGGCTGAAGAAAACAGACTTGAAGGATTTCAACAGCCGATGCCTGAGCTTTTGAGTTGCTGGCAAAGCGTGTCTGGGACTTGGAGTATTCCCTGTAGCATCTTCTGAGAGAGATGCTCGACCATTGTGTGTCTGAAGTGACTGCTGGCTCCCTTGGGCTCCCCAGGCTTGGGTAAATCTTTCCCTGGATTCTCACATCGCCGGTGAATTCTGCAAGGTCGCTGGGCTGCTGAAGCATCCTTGCTTGATGTCCTTGAAGTTTGGGTAGGGCTCCTGTGCTTTGCATTGAGTTTCAGCGTTGTCTCTACGTGGCAGAGGAGAGATTCTGCTCTAGGCACAATCTGAAATGCCTCTGTGCTGTGGAAAACTCCCCCGGCGCTTGGGCACTCTCCGGGACAAGTCTCGGAAGACCCTGTGATTCAGAAAAGAAGAGCAGTCTCCAAAGGGAGAAGGACATGCTCATATTTCTGCAGTTTTTTTCTTGTGCCTCTGCTGGCCCTTCATTAAGCTTCCCTCTCTCCCAAAGCGTGCACAGCTTGGTTGAGATCCCTGGGAATTGTAGCCGCCCCGCTACCCGCGCTGCTCATCCCGCCTTTTCTTCTCCTTCCCTCTCCCCCCTTTTCTTCTACACAACCCCAGGAGGCTGAATTCTTGAAGCTTAGGGCCCTGCCATCCCAGATTCATTAAAATGTTAATGGCTTTTCTTGTTCCGTAGCTTCTTCCAGACAGGAGGGGTTTCTGTAGTTAATTCAATGCATGCTGGTGTTTGGGATTACGTACCTACGTATGTATGCTGTGTTCTTGCAGATGTGGAGCACTTTTAGTATCCCTCTTCTCCAGGAAGAGGGTTTTTTGTTTGCCTTTGACATGTACTAAATCCTCTAGATTCCACTGATACGCTTTTGTCACAATATTGCATGCTCCTTAAAATGCCATGAAGGTGTTAATTTAATTGTAGTATTTTTATTTGAAAGAAATTGCTTTCTGGATTTTTTTTTTAATTTTTTTTTTTTAATGTCCTATACCTTTTCCAGCCTTTGACAGATTGTCAGCAGCTTGTTTCGTTCAGCTCTTTTAAGACAAGAAGAAAATCACTGCGAGCTTTCACCCGGGGCAGTGGCTGCTGTGTGTTGGGCACTGGGGTGGCTTTCCTTACCCTTCCCAGCTCCAGCAGAGCCAGCTGAACCGTCCCGCTGCCCACCCCCTTCTCAGATGAAGACAGACCCCCTTGCTTATGTAGGAGGTGAACCTCTGCCACCTCTGTGTCTGCCTACATTTTGCTGTCTGTGATAAAAGCCTGGGCAGGCTCCTCAGCTGCTGCTCTTCTTGCTTCCGTTGAACGTACCCACCAAGGGCTTGGTCCCACAAGCCCATAGCATGAACATGGGTGCTGTTTGGTGGCAGATTTGCACTCACTGTCTGTAGCTGGCAGGAGGTAAGGGGATTCAAGTTAGCTGTTCTTCTGTGAAAGTCCTCAAATCGGTGCTAAGTCTCAAATTAGTGGAAAAGATGCAAGTGTGTGTGCGATGGGAGAATTAAATGGATTTAGATAATCTCTGTAGATGGATTATGCTGGTTCCGCTGCTGACTCCGCTCTCAGTAGAGCTGAGAATCTGTTACTTCGTGAACTGAGGAGCAGTGGGTTTGCTGTGGCATCTACCGAGGAAATCTGTGTGTGGGCAGATCTTGTTAAGCCATATTTGCCTGCAGGATGCTTAATACCAAAATCTCCACACGCTTCTTTACTTTGATATCCAATAAG